ACTTCAGTCATTGCCAAATTTGCGGGTGTCATTCGGCCATTGACCAATTTGCGGATGTCCTTCAGTCATTGACCAACTTGTGGGTGTCATTCAGTCATTGACGAATTTGCGGGTGTCATTCAGCCATTGACCAATCTGCGGGTATCCTTTAGTCATTGACCAATTTGCGGGTGCCCTTCAGCCATTGACCAATTTGCGGGTGTCCTTCAGTCATTGACCAATTTGCGGGTGTCTTTCAGTCATTGACCAATTTGTAGGGTGTCCTTCAGTCATTGACCAATTTGTGGGTGTCATTCAGTCATTAACCAATGTGCGGGTTACTATAAGTCATTGACCAATTTGCGGGTGTCATTCAGTCATTGACCAATTTGCGGGTGTCATTCTGTCAGTGACCAATTTGTGGGTGTCCTTCAGTCATTGGCCAATTTGCGGGTGTCTTTGTGACTTCAGATATGCGAATTACGCATGTCTGCCTAGTCGTTGTAAGTCAACATTTACTCCACACTATTTCAAGCTGTTATTTTTGAGAAGTAGTTGTAATGTACCGGGGATTACATCTGTTTTCAGCAAAAAGGCAAAAAGAGTTGTGAGTTCAAAATTCGTATATTATGTTTATATGTTCGTAGGCGTGTCTCAGTAATTTTGATTATATGATCACTCTTCAGGTCAGGTCATTTCTTAATGTAATGATTTAATTAAAATCAAATCAAATTTTTATGGTTTGCACATTATGTTCGTTGCCCAATTTAACGCGGTAGAAATAGTGATATTATGAGAGAGTAATAAATGGGCGATGTGAATGTGAGCGTCATGTTATAGGAAGCTGTAGTTTTGCCATGTATTTGTCACAGCCATTTATCCTTTTATAATATAAACATATTTTTAACTTTAATTCGTTTAGTGATATACCGCTCAAAGTGCTTACTAAGCGACCATTGTTGACTAGCAAAAATATCTTCATAACTCTAGCAGATTTCAATCAATACAAGAGAAAGTTGACAGGTACTGGAAGAGCACTACAACCGCAATAACCTACAACACAAAAACTATATATACCAGTCATAAGTACACTAGAAATAGACAAGTTAGTTTATTTATATCTGTGAGCATATGCTTGTTTTTAACAAACAAAGTGAATACCCGTTTCCAGCTAACAAGCTAGGGGGATAACCGTTTCCAACTTGTACTGTGCATTTCATGATGGTGTGAATTTGTTTTGTTGACATTTATAGAATATTTTAAAAACGTTTATCCCTAGAGAGCATAATGCTTCATTCAAATTTTAAGAAGTCCTTTGTTTGGCTTTAGCCATTTGATGACGCATTTTGCTTTGTGGGTGTCCTTCACTCATTGACCAATTTGCGGGTGTCCTTCAGTCATTGACCATTTTGCGGGTGTCCTTCAGTCATTGACCAATTTGCGAGTGTCCTTCAATCATTGACCAATTTGCTGGTGTCCTTCAGTCATTGACCAATTTGCGAGTGTCCTTCAATCATTGACCAATTTGCGGGTGTCCTTCAGTCATTGACCAAATGTGCGAGTCTCCTTCAGTCATTGACCAACTTGTGGGTGTCCTTCAGTCATTGACCAATTTGCGGGTGACCTTCAGTTATTGATCAATTTGTGGTTGACCCTCAGTCATTGACCAATTTGCGGGCTAAATCAGTCATTGGTCAATTCGCGGGTGTTCTTGGCCAAATTGCGATTATGCATACTAAATGATTGGTCATGTGATTTTCAACCATTCTTTACTGATTTGACTATGTAATGTTCTTTTCAGTTCACTCTTTTATTCTTTTTTATTGTCTTTTTGATTGTTGTCAGTCATTTGTTGTTTTTCTGTTTTTGGAATTCTAATGTTTCCCTATACGGCCCATGTTCAACAATGGTTGGGTATGTTATTCCAACTTTATCAGACATTTTGCATCGGGGCGAGATCTGATCACCAACCTTACGCCGCTAGGGGGTCTGAGGGCATGCTCCCCCTTAACAATTTGGTAATCTAGACCCTGAAACGCTATTTCCTGCATTCTGAGGGGCAAACTTTGATTGCACAAAAAGGTTACTGCTTGTCTTTGGAGGGCGACCCCCCCGCCACTGATTATAACGATTATTGGGGCTTCACTGTTGGTTTATTATATCCCACGAGGGCACTGTAAACCTGGTAGTTTCATTTACAACCGATAACAAATGACCACTCGGCTTAGTCACCAATGACAGTTACAGTGATTATGAGTGTTTATACGCACTGCGCATGTTTTTGTTTTGCTGCTGACAAACTATTGATTGAACTCAACGGTAATTGGCACACATATTACCCGCATACATTTCTGGCAAGCATTGTCAGTGAAGACATTGGTTCACTCCCAGTAATCCGTTACACAAAGCGTCCACCTCATATTTCTATTTCGAAATGGTCAAATCAACTTGAAAATGATTGGGAACAGGTTGATATTACGTTTCACTGCTCCGTTCGTTTCCAGCGCAAAAATTGTTAAAAAAACGATAAACGAACAAATCAAAACATTATTGTGGGATGTCAGTATTTCTCAATATTGAATGCAGCATTGACTATTGAATATTTTCAATGTTTATTTTTTCCCATTTCACAATGGAAATATAGTATGGAATCGTAAAATAAAGCAATATAACAATAGCTGGTACATCTTATCTACAACTGTATTCCGTGTTATAAAGTCACAAATATTCAGTGGTTCTTGAAATAATATTTAAATGTTCACACAATGCCTGATAAATTCGAAACTTTTTCAATATGCTGGTAGTTTCACACTAAATCTCTTTGTTAGGAATTACCCTAATTCGGTAGATTCGACTATCATTTAAAATGTGTCATTATCATAAAAACTGCACACACCAGGTACCAATTTCCAAAAACAAATCATTCATATATTATTAAGTGTATCGACAATCTATTAGGAAGTTTATGTCTTCTCTGCCTAAGGAAGACTTGTGCCAAATTTGAGACTGGAAAAACTACTGTTTTAGCAGCAAGCCTAACAATACATGCAATGAATGTGTAAACTCGACTGTGTCTACTAAACAACTTCACACTGCGTCATACGCCTGCCATCCGTAATGACAATTTTGAAAAATATAAAATAACACTAAGTGTGGGTTTATCTAATTAGCATTATCACTTACCTGTTGAAGAGATACCACTATCGGGCACATGGCTTTACCAAATATCCAGTGTCCTTTCATGATTGTTGGAAAGGTGAACGGCATGCAGAAAATAGCCATTGTCAAATCGGCCAATGACAAATTGACGAGAAAAATATTCAAGTCGGTCCATGATCGAGTGCCACATGCCAAAACAATAATCACTATTAAGTTACCGACTACAGACAAGGCCATGCTCAGAATAAATCCACACATCAAAAATAGTTGCTCTGTAGCGGGTATTGCCAAGTCGTCAGCGCTGAGTATATAATCATTGTCGGTAAAGTTGAAATGCGTTGTGAAGTATTCAAGCAATTGTTGAAAATCTGAATCGTAATAGTCATACTGGTATGTATCTTCATAGGCGTTTGATACCATTGTTGTTATTCCAGGCATAGTTGCTGTTTACAGATCAATCTTGCTACCAGAACGAGTAAAGAGACAATCTGATATTCAGCATGTAGTGGTGAATATAAAGAGCGAAGGGCGATTCCATTTGATAAAAGGGGTAATAAGCAGCTTGCGTGAAATATCAGTAAATGTCACTGAGGCCGATTTTATTATATAAAATGGGTAAAAAACTACTTATTTGAATATATGACAGACGAAATAGCAGTATGAATTACGTCACCTATTATAATTAATTTATTATATATTATCTATAGCTTATAAAAACAAAGCTACAACTACATCAACACTGAAATTAAACTGAAGTAGTTACAAACCATTGTCGTCTGACAGTTGAATGTTGCCGGTAATTAATGTTGTTACCCATGATTAGTGTCAACTGCCAAACGATGCAGAATTACGTTTTCCAGAAAACAAAGTAGAAGCGCACTCAAAATACCGTATACATATCAGTGAGTAAAAGACAACATATTTCAATAAGCAATAAATCGTACAGTTATAACACGATAAAGCGACGTGATTTTCATTAAAACTTATGTTAGATACAATTGAATGAAAACTAAAACTCCATTATTTCATTTGTCAGCAAATCACTTTTCCATTTTCAGCATATATGATTGAATGCACTAATTTAGTTACAAGCAGCCGTGTCATTATTATATTTAACCATACTAAGGTCAATACCTACGAGTCATGTTATCTCGATCTAGGCATTGTAACGTATTGTTATATTCGAATATCTAATTTTTATTTATTGAACATTAGTTGTTTTTCCTTTCACAAACTAATAATCCCTAAACTGTTGTTGTTACATCCAATACAATTAAATTTGTGGTATAAAAATGCTTTATTTCAAGACTTTGTCCTTGTAGTAAACATAATTGATTCAATCGCGTTTTTCATGCTTCGTTTTTCACTTGAAACTACAATTAACAGAATAATGAAAACAAAATAGTAGTTTATCTGATACTCAAACGAGTAAAAAGTCAATCGAACAACCAACAAATACAAGATGAAAGCAGAATAATTGATGTTTAATTTAGTTTAAATGTACATCATTACATGTGCGATCTTTACCCGATTCAAACGCAAAAAATATATCTTTATTGAGTTATATCATATTTTTAGAATTATGTGCTTCACTGCCATACAACTACTTTCCGTATTATAATACGTAGTAATATTATCGTGAGGTACGCGTTAATACAAATCTAGATGCATAGAGAGAATTTCAATACCTACGTAAATCATAGTTACTAAGCTATTGAAATATAAGACTGAAATTCAATGAAAACTCAAAAACAAAATTAGTGGCTGGTTGTTCGGGTAAGACAGGCAATAATGTGTCTTGGTTGTATGGGGCAATACTCAAATACCTTCCTGATTTAGTCATGAATTCTAATGTGATTATCAATTGATTTAGTCATGTATTCTAATGTGAATGTCAACTGATTTAGTCATGAATTCTAATGTGATTATCAATTGATTTAGTCATGTATTCTAATGTGAATATCAACTGATTTAGTCATGTATTCTAATGTGAATGTCAACTGATTTAGTCATGTATTCTAATGTGAATGTCAACTGACCTAGTCATGTATTCTAATGTGAAGTCAACTGACTTAGTCATGTATTTTAATGTGAATGTAAACTGATTTAGTCATGTATTCTAATGTGAATGTCAATCCATTTAGTCTGTATTCTAATGTGAATGTCAATCCATTTAGTCATGTATTCTAATGTGAATACCAACTGATCTAGTCATGTATTTTAATGTGAATGTCAACTGATTTAGTCATGTATTCTAATGTGAATGTCAACTGATTTAGTCATGTATTATAATGTGAATGTCAACTGATTTAGTCATGTATTCTAATGTGAATGTCAACTGACCTAGTCATGTATTCTAATGTGAATATGAACTGATTTAGTCATGTATTCTAATGTGAATGTCAACTGATTTAGTCATGTATTCTAATGTGAATGTCAACTGATTTAGTCACGTATTCTAATGTGAATGTCAATCCATTTAGTCATGTATTCTAATGTGAATGTAAACTGACCTAGTCATGTATTCTAATGTGAATGTAAACTGACCTCGTCATGAATTCTCATATGAATGTCAACTGATTTAGTCACGTAT